GATTTCTTGCTTTCTGTCTCTCTGTCTCTGTCTGGCGAGCGCACGCACCCTATAGCGAAAAAACCTCTCCCCAAAAAAAGAAGGTATATTGTTGTTATGAACAAAGTCATTTGAGAAAGTTGGATGAAGAGTATATTTCTGTAACTTCTGTGAGTCTTTAATTTTATATATTATATATGTATAAAAATTTTGTGAATGAATAGTTAATTTAGCCTGTTTAGCTCTGTTTGTCTAGCAAAGCCCAAACAAATCAGAAATTGTTAGAGCAAAAAGAATCTAGAGATCACTTGGTCCTGTGATTCCCAAGGCCAGGAAATATCAGATTTCTCTAAGGCACTTGTTACATTACTGATAGCCCCAGTCTTCTGGAAAACAATCTTTAAGGTATTCCAGGAAAAAAAAAATTGATAAACTGTTGGGCCATTCTTACATAGTCACCTCTTTGCTTTTCTCACTTGTGTTAACTATTGGTCTTATCCACCCACTTTGTCTTGAAAACCAGAAGCCCAAGGAAGGTAGCTATTAAGTATTTTAAAAATAATTTGCCCAAGTAATCAGCACAGCAAGGACCGGAACAATAGTCTGTCCTCTAAATTAAATGATTCCTGACAGAGAACGACACCTTTGAAAAACAATGAACATTACCTTACAGGTAGCCACTTGGCCAGTTCAAGCATGAATGGGTATTTATTGTAGTAACGGGTTTTATTTTGTGTCTTGTGAAGGGAAGAGGAGTGGTATAACATGATTAGTGATTTGTCTGTGTTCATATATGAACATTGAAACACTCCAATGACTGATGTTCTGAAAAAAATGTAAGACTATTAGGGAAACATCAATGCTGCAGACAAATGTGTTTTTTTTTTTCTTTTTCTTTCATTGGTTGATAGAACCAAGAGCTGAGAAAGTTCTAATCTGACAGCTATACAAATCTGAATGTATATTGTTTTCCTAGATGAGGAAAATGTCTAGTTGCAGGATTTAGTCATGCTGTGGATAACATTCCTGGATGACCCTGAAGGTTGTCAAAGTAGCTGATTTTCAATAAGGAAGAGATCAAAATAATAAATTATCATATCACAGTAAAATTTTCACTAGCAGCAATTTATATAATGCTTAGGGTTTTTTAAGAATTATTTATTTAATTTCATTCATTCATTCATTCATTTTCATTTTGACCAGAGAAAGACAGACACACAGAGAGAAGAAAAGTGAGAAAGCAAAGCCACCAGGTCCAGGACTCAAACCGTAATCGACCATGTCCAGTGCCTTAACCACCATGCCACCTGCTGGCCCTATAATGCTTATTTTTTTAACCATAAAAATCTGTTTAAGTGGATCAGTCAACTCTTAACTCACATTCTCATGATACTGTAGTTGGTGGATTATCTCCACAGATATACTGAGCATTCCTGGTTTCTAGCACAATCCCTGTCCTTACTATTTGGTAAAGGAATCTTATGTTTGTCAGTATGTGAGAAAGAGAAGTGGAATTTAAAGCTTACTAATTGCCATAGTAATGTCACACGAGTTCTATTACAAAGCACGAAACATTTAGCAATGAAATGTTTTTAAGTATAAATTGTCACAGAGGAAAAAAATCGTTTTTAGTGTGCACATTTTCAGGGAACCATGAGTGACAGATAACCAGTATTTACAAATATGCACACACACAGTCACCAGCTCATTCAGTCTCTTAAGCCTTTGATATGTGGCGTCCATCTTCAAAAAAATGAGGGAGCCACTCTCACTGGACCCTCAGAACTTGAGCCAGGCATGATGAACACCATTACAAATCCCTCCTTTAAAGCACTCTGCTTCCCAGATGGCCTGAAGCTTTCACACAGCAAATCTGATGCTCAGGAGAGCTGTTCCTTCAGGGTGAGTAAGAAATCACCATTCCCAAATCATGAGTCATTTCTTCTAATCGGAGTTACCAGCTTCCTCCACAGTCCTTTACTAGGGATCTGCTTGATTATTTGTGGTAATATTGTTGACATGAGTTCTGTTCTCGATCTACTCACAGTTGGGGGGGTTTGTTTAAGTTTAGCTTTCTAAAACCCTTTCACTGTAGTTAATTAGAAATAGAACAAAGGGTTATGTTACTTGGCCCAGTTAAAAGGGCAGGACCTCACATAGTATATCCAAATTTTCAAAGTTTATAAACTAATGAATATATTAATATTACACTGTTTTCTTACCATTTTAACAACCAGAGGATGTTTAAATCTGTACAATGGCAGTCAGTAAACCACATTTACTTATTTTTTTTAAGAGAGATTTTTGGATAGGGCATGTGTAGTCTCTGGAGAGAGACAGAAAGCGAGAAATCACCCCCCCCCCAGTGGGGGGGGCCACACTGCAATCTCCTCTCCTTCATTCTCCTCTTGGGATTTTGGGCACGCACACAGAATCCACATGAGTTTTAAGCCACCAGGTCTGGGACTCGAACCGCAGTCAACTACATAGGGGTCCAGTGAGGTAACCATTACACAATCTACTGGTCCCAATAAACCACATTTAAAATATTTTGTTATCAGTCACAGTTGAGAATAGTCGAGGCCTTTACTTGATGAAACCTGTTTTGCATATTAATACCTACTTTGGCAACAGCACTACCGCATAGATTTTGTGATATCTTAGTCTCTAACAGCTTTGCAAATGTATTTATACAGCTTATAATAAGAAAAAAATTTATATATAATTTAACAGCTTCAGGTACTCTCTTGTGTGTGAATTTGCAGGTAAGTATGACCACACCCCCAACACACAACAGTTTGTTCCTAATAGGTTCCAAACATTTCTCTAGGCATTTAATTCCAGTATGTAATAGTTGTTTTTGTTCATTCTGTATTTTACACATTTTTATTATGTTTATAATTAGGTACTTTTCCCCCTGCAGATATGCTCCCTCTCCTCATGCCTATGATGTATATATCTGTAAGTAACAGGAGAAAGCCATTGTCAATGGGATTTATTAACCAGGATTCCCATAGATGAATAGGGCTTGTCCCATAGATGGATTTATCCCATAGATTTTAGAGGATTTAGGAACCTGGAAGTCATGCCGAATTTTGTGATTATGTGAGAGGACTTCAAAAAGTTCATGGAAAATTTGGACCAGCAGTTAGCATAATGGCCATGTCTCTGGACTCCCATGTAGTCGACCGTGGTTTGAGTCTCAGATCCGGTGGCTTAAACTCACGCCGGGCACGTGTGCGTGCGTGCCCAAGATCCTGAGAGGAGAATGGAGGAGAAGGGATTGCGGCGTGGCCATTCCCCCTGGGGGGTGATTTCTCGCTTTCTGTCTCTCTGTCTCCCTCTGTCTTTCTGGTGAGCGCATGCGCCCTATAGCAAAAACCTCTCCAAAACCAAAAAAAAGTTAATGGAAAATTGTAATTGAAGTATGGATTTAATTTGGTGCAATTTTTTGCATGTGTTTTTCATAATATGCATTTCCATGAACTTTTTGAAGACTGTGTGTGTGTGCGGTGCACGTGTGTACATACATTTTTTTCTTAAAATGAGTCCATGTATCTCTCTGATTTTCTAAGGGGTATGTAATCCAAGAAAACCAGTCACTGTTAAATCTGTATGCAAATGAGCCCATGTAGTCACACATTACATAATTTTCCATTTTAATCACAGCTGCGAACAGTTGAGAGAAGTGCCTGCGGTTTGACATAGTTCATGGAATGTCCCCAATGTGGTAAAGTTCCGTGGATGATCCAGTCCACAGAACCTGCAACATGCACATCTTACATTCTGCTTTGATTGTACTGACTGACCTAAGTATGGTCATTTTAGAGAAAAGTTCTCCAACTTCATTATTAAAGGTAGAATAAAACGCAGGGCTTAACCCCACTGTGAGAAATAAAATTAGAACACAAAACTCCAAAGATTCTTTAACATCAGAGTAGAGTAAATATTGATGGAATAGATCAAATACAAATGTTCAGTACGCACCTGTAAAAACAAATGGCATAATATTGTGGTTTGCTTTAAACTACATGAGCAAATAAAGTAAGAAAAGCATTCAATGGAGCCAGTCTACGGACTGGTTATTAAGGGAGCTGGATCCCACTTGGCCAACCACGTAATTCAAGTTCTGGACCCAGTGGCTTGAAAAACACACTGAGCATTTTTATATGTGTGCCCAAAATCCTGAAAAGGAGGGAGAAATGGAGGAGAAGGGATTGCTGCGTGACCATTCCCTGTGGTTGAGGAGGCACTTTCTCACTTTCTCTCTCTCTCTCTGTGGTGAATACACATGCCCTCTGACAAAATTCAAAAATAAAAAAGGAAAAGGGTCAGCTAGTTGTGCAGTGGTGTGGTAGTTCAGGCAGGTGGCTCTCACACTGCCAACTGCATGGCTCAAGTCACTGTGTTCAGCAGCTTGAGACACACACGAGGCCCGTATGTGTACGTATCCAAAATCCTGAAGGGAGGGAGAAATGGAAAGGGTTTGTGGCATGACCATCCCTCATGTGGGGATGCTTTCTCACTCCCCCCACTGCCCCATCTCTCTTTAGTGAGTAATGTACCCTCTGGCAAATTAAAAGAAAAAAGAAAAGTGTTAAATTAAACAGGGCAACATCTTGGTGACTGTTGGTACTGAGTTACAGGTTCATGAGACGACGCCATTGTACTATCCTCTCTTCTTTTGCATATATTTGAAATTTGCCATAATAATTTCTATACATTCGAATTCTTCAGCCGCCATACTCTCTACTTACACTAGACCCAGCACATGGGGAATCAGCTCCTATAGGAGCAAAATGGAGATATAGGCACAAGTGAGGGACAGGCTAAGAAACTAACTGTAATGCAGTGAGAAACTTACACCCTACTGGGAAGAAATGAAGCTGAGAATCCATGCAAATTTTAGCAAGACAAAAAGAGAGACATGTTCAATTAGATAATAAAAGCAAAGTAAAATAAACTGATTTTTAGGAAATAGATACAAACGGCTGCTGGGAATGTAAATTGATATACTCTTACCATTTTAGCTCGATGATTTGATATCCTTTGATCTGTTCATTCCTTTAGTAACACTGTAACTCAAAGAAACAACACCTGATCACCTGTCTCTCTACAAGGCTGTTTACATTACATTATGAACCTCTCTGCCAAGAGCTTTGCCCTATTGACCATCATATCCCTAGAATGATTTCCGACCACTAGTCTATCACTCACATATTCAAACATCCAATAAAGATTTATTGAGTATTACCAAGTACTATGCACCATGCAGAAGCCTGGAATTCTGGTACGCAACTGTAAATAAAAACACACCAAAGGCTGTATATATGCTGAACTGTGATTTCCTATATATGTAATCGGGGAATGCTTTGTTAAATCTCTCCCTCACAGCTAGAACTGACAGTGACTTCAGGATATTTGAAAAGGTTCAACGTAATTCAAGAACGCATTACACAACTGCAAGCTTTATTTATTGTTATGTATACTTTGTTTGAATGTAGAAATACATGTGTGTTTTTAATCATTTACAAAACAGTACTTGGTGATCCCTCAGATCACTTTTCCCTCTAATAGTCAAATACAGGATTCTTGCAACTGGACTTACATACCACTAGATGTCGCTATGGACAACACAAAAAAATTAGAGCAAAGGCTTGGTATCTTAACCGCTAAGGAACACTAGCAAATTTCAGTAAAAGAAATGTGAAAACACATGTGAAAAAAAGTGTGGCAAGCCTTATAAAAATTCATAGGAGTAGCTTCAGAGATGTATATGCATACACGTAAACCCAGTGCCATAGGCACAATATTGTGAAGTACTTCCGTATAGGAAGTTCCAGAAGACTTTCTGCAACTTACTAGCAGGAAGTCCTGGATTCAGAAGGGAGCTTACTTATCCATTGATTTTCAGATTTCTGACTGTTCCCTGGAGTTAGAAATACAGTCTGTATCACACCCCAGCACGTGCACATGCACCCATGCATGCGCATATCACACCTCTGCGCATGCAAGTGCACACATGCACGCACACACATATGCACGCACAGAAGCACAGAAATATTTTCATACATGTAATTGAAACCAAATTTTCTTAAAAACAATACCTTTACTATGTGCAATGCACTTTGATATTTCCTTTTTATGTAGTCAATACTTTAAAAAAAAGCTGATCGTAAGCCAATAAATTGATCTTACTTGATTTAATTCATCCCCTTGCATGAATACATCACAGAGGAGAGACTCAGAGATGTGCAGTGACTTGCCCCAGGTATCACAGTGAGCCAGGACTCAAAACTTTTCAGGGCACTGACGGGCTTTGTTTTGGAAAGTAAAAGCTTTCGAGAACATTCTTGGATCATTCCCAATCAGCCCTTCTGTGTTCCTCTACCTTCTAAATCCTAGAGGCAGTCCATTATGGAGAAAATCACCAAAGAGCGTAGGTATGAATACAGTCACCGCTCTGTACTAGCAGGAAATTGGTTTCAGGGCTTCGATGGATACCAAAATTCACAAATGCTCAAGCCCCTGATATAAAAGGGCTTTGTATTTGCTTATAAGCTATGCACATCCTCCTGCATATTGACGATCAGCTCTAGAGTACTTAGGATACCTAGGCAATGTAAATGCTGTGTAAACAGTCATTAGAGTGTATTTTTATTTGTATTTTTAATAGTTTTACTTTTTTCCAAGTATTTTTGATCAAAGGTTAGTTAAATCTATGGATGGAAAACGTGCAGATAAGGAAGGCTAACAGGCTATATGCAGAATTTGCTTTAAAAAAATACAGGTTCTTTATGAGATGCAAATATGATCACTTCAACTTCACTACTTGGTTTCCCTTCATGGCTCTTTCCAGTTTTCAGGACACATATAAATTCTCATTGCAGCAATAAAGGTGCTTCCAGTCCTGCCAGCCAACTTCACTCTTTGCCACTTCCCACACGCATCTTTATGATTTCCCCCCACTTTTAGCCTGGCTAAATCATAAATTTACAAGAGGCTCCACTCACTTCCACCTCTGCAAAGCTGTCCTCAGCACATGTCTCCCACTCCTTTGCCATGGCAGGCAAATCTTCTCCAGGTCCGTCATCTCCACTGGGCTGTGGCACTTGTATGGATGGTCTTACGTCTTCCCATTCACTATTCCTGGAACTTTGCCTAAGGTCAGCACATAAGAGGGGCTTGGTAAGTATCTGCTGAAATGATTATATATATATATATATATATATATATTGCCATAGGGCGCATGCGCTCACTAGACAGAGAGGTAGAAAGCAAGAAATCACCCCTCAGGGGTGATGGCCACACCACAATCCCTTCTCCTCCGTTCTCCTCTCAGGATCTTGGGCACACACGCACACGTGCCCGGCATGAGTTTTTAAGCCATCAGGTCCGGGACTTGAACCGCGGTCTACTACATGGGAATCTAGCAACATAGCCATTATGCTAATTACTGGTACCCTGAAATGAATATTTTTGCTTTTAACTGCTTTTAACTACTAGTCCAACAGAAAAGCCCCTTATTGGCACATCAGCTCTCTGAACTGTTAGAGCTGGTTTTGACAATGTAGAACTCTACCTCCTGATATCTTGAGTGGAATAAAAATGAATATATCCATCATGGGAGTAGGGGATGTGAACACCCAGTTCTTACATTTCTCTTGATTTTAATACATTTTGTCAGAGGGGGTGTTGGTTTTTAAATTTCTTTTAATTTATTTTCAATACAGGCTCTCACTCTGTTATGATTCCCCTGCCTTAGCCTCCTTAGTAGTTGAGATTACAGGTGTGTGTATTTATGCCAGTTTTTAGGGCAGGCCAGGAATCAGACCAGGCTTCCTGTGGGGCCTCAGTTCGCCGAGTAGCAGCAACTACCAGCACATACTACCACACTGGGCTGATTTTGTTTTTTAAAATTTGCTAGAGAGGGCATGTGCTCTCTGGAGGTAGAGAGAGCAAGAGAGAGAGAGAGAGGAGAGAAAGTGAGAAAGTCCTCTGCCATGGATGCAGTCACAACACAATCTCTTCTCCATTTCTCCCTCCTTTTGGGATTGTCGACACACATGCACATGTGCCTGGCATGTTTCTCAAGCTGCTTGGTTTGGAGTTCAAACTGTGCACTCAGCCACGTGGGATCCAGCCACCTTTACTACCACACTGGCCGACCTTGATTTTGTTTTTAAGCCTGCGCTTGTAGGCTTGCACTGCTGACCAATGTAGCCTCTGTTCCTTCCACTAGTGGCTCAAAGAGCTTGCCCACTCACTCAGATATGCAGACTGAGTCTTTCTGGATCTATTTATGAGGGGCAAACAATGGTGCTTCTGTGCATTACTACCATGGGGCCTATCTAAAGCGATGGCCATCACTTTAAGTTACTTACTGTCCATCATGAAGGGGGGAGGAAACAGAGTGACAGAGAAACAACTAAAAGCTCTGATGACTAAGTGCAGTAATGAAGGGAGTAATGAAGGTCGTCTGTGGAGGCTGTAGAGGTCAGCAACAGCTTTGTGCAGGAGAGTCACAGGGAAGTTGGGGTCGGGTGGAGTTGTGGGGAAGGAACTATTCCAGCTGGGAACCAGCATGGCAACGGTCAGATAAGGATGCAGATGGAGAGGACTCTGGGTTAGACAGCTCATTTGGCACTGGGGAGGGGTCAGGTATAAAGCCAGGTGGGCAGGACAAGCTGGGCTGGCATCCTGGTAGGAGTAAGGCCATTGTCCATGGTGTCCCCGACTCCGTGCTGATTTTAAAGCATATTCAGATGAAGCAATCATCATGATCTTCTCTATACCCTTGTCACATTAGCATGATTCACAATTTTATCTTATAAAGAGAGACACAGCTAGCAGCTAGCCAGATGCTCACCTGTTTCACAGATCCGAGAACTGGAATGAGCCTTGAAATCACAGCTGAATCTCCCCATTTTACAAGTACAGGAATTGAGGACCGAAGAGGTGAAACAAGTTCTCTAAGGTCACTCAAGAGTGGAGTTTAGGAGGCTGGCTGGTAGCAGCTTTAACCAGTCTGATTTCTGACTGGAGGTATTTTTCACATTATATTATCTGAGGTGGGAAGAAAATCCCTCATATTGCAGAGAAAGAACTATTACTTTGACAAGAGAAAATATTTTCTGATGTTTAGTAACTGCTGTGATAACAGCCTATTAATATAACTGCATCTTTTCAAACAGAATATTTTTTATCCTGACCCATCCTAAAGAGTTGAAAGTGGTGGCCAGAGCTGGCAGTCCCAGCCACTTGGGAGGCTAGGGCAGGCTGAGGAAGGAGAGTCAAGACTCAGTGAGACCCTGTGGAAAACACTGCTGCAGGCATACACAGGTAGCCACACACATCTTACATGCACTAAAGAGGGAGGGAGCTTTTGTCAACCAAAAATTGAAAGCTTTCAGGGCCAGCAGGTGGCATGGTGGTTAAGGCACTGGCCTCCCACATGGCTGACCACAGTTCGAATCCCAGACCTGGTGGCTTGCTTTCTCAGTTTCTCTCTCTCTGTCTGTCTCTCTATGGTCAATTAAAAATAAATTTTAAAAATAGAATTAGATAAATAATTCTTTAAAAAAATTAAAAGCTGTTGGGACTGGCAGGTGTCATGGTGGTTAAGGTGCTGGACTCCCACATGGCTGACCACAGTTCGAATCCCAGACCTGGTGGCTTGCTTTCTCAGTTTCTCTCTCTCTGTCTGTCTCTCTATGGTCAATTAAAAATAAATTTTAAAAATAGAATTAGATAAATAATTCTTTAATTAAAAACAAGCTTTTTAGTAGAAAATAATTCTAAGAAGAAATAGAGCTGTCTAAGAAGATGTATCTATCTTGGGAAGAAGGCCTGCAAAAGCTGAAGAACCTCATCAGAACTTTTCTCTGCCACTGATGAATTTTGGGGTCTTCATAAATCAGAGAAAATAATAATTTTTTAATTTTTTAAAAACCTAAATATTGGTCCTAAACAGATAGACTAGCCTCTCAGAATCTGTTAGCAAAAAAACAAAAACAAAAACAAAAAACAAACAGAAAAACCCCTGATATTTCTAGACCAAGAACACCATACAGATGTTGCATTATTATAGATTTTTTTTTTTAACACCAGAAATGACATGTCTTGAGAAATAACTTGCTGAGAAGTCTGTGTTTACATTAGGGAGAGTAGATTGGGGTGAGGTGGGGGGAATCCCTTGCAGAACTTGAAAAGATGTTAAGTGGTAAATACCAAAATGCCCAGCAAGCATAAGCAGGCTCTCATTCTAGCTTGAATATGTACAGCTCAGCATTTTAAAATTTACTTTCAGCTTTTCTAGCAGTTCGAATTAACCCTTTCCCTACTTCCACTCCCTTTGTAGGAGCTCAGCCCTGACCTACAGATGTGACTGCAGTTGCTCTTGTGGCCCTCCATGATCCCCAGAAGATGATTCCTTCACTGTAACTGGCCACCATATGAACTAATGTCCCCCTAAACCTCCTTACTACCACATAATGCCCAAACATTACGAAGACAGTCCAGCTTGCCAAGGATTGGAAAAGTTCTGCTGGCAGAGCAAAATAAGGTGGACCAATGCCACAATAAAGATAAATGCAGAAGTTCTCAGGCAGCATGGGCATCCAGACTCAGTCCAGACAGGCTGTTCCAGAAGGTGGCTCCTGCAGTTGTAGCTGTTCAAGATCCTCAGGATATTCTAAAGTACATTCATCACTGAAAGAAATTAATCTAAATTTTCTTTAAAAAACAAAAAAACAAAAAAACCCAGTAATATGTACTCACCAGAGAGACAGAGAGAGAGCACCTCCCAAGTAGAGAGTGGTCATGCGACAATCTTTTTCCTTCATTTCTCCATCCTGTCAGAATTTGGGGCACCCATACACATGGCACCCAGTGTGTTTTCCAAGCTGCTGGGGCCAGAATTAGAGACATGTGGGATCTGGTTCCCTTAACCTCTAGGCTATGGGGCCAACCCAATTTCCTACAGAGTCAATTACATTTTTCTTTTACTTCAGGGCCCTAACAAATTAAAATGAAAAACAAAATGTGCAACCAAAACAGATAGTTCTTCCAGATTAGGTTCATCTTTATTCCTTACCAGCTATTAAAAAAATTATTTATAGGCTGAACAACAATCAATTATTTAAAATAGTGAGTATTCAGTGAATGTCTATATAATACTTAATGATTTTTTTTCAAATATTAATGACCTCATGTGGTTGTCATGGAAATCTTATAGGTAGCTTGATATTCTCATATTAAAGGATAAAGGAAATGTCTCAGGGACATGAAGACTTGATCAAGACCCCTCAAATAGTACAATACAGCAGGAGTGAGTTTGACAAATAGTGGGACAAAATAATTGTTCCTTTATTACTATAGGTAAAAATAATTTCTAATTTTGGGAACCAGCAGTTAGCATAATGGCTATGTCGCTGGATTTCCACATAGTCGACCTCAGTTCACGTCCCGGACCGGGTAGCTTAAAACTCACGTGAGGCGCGTGTGCGTGCCTAAGATCCTGAGAGGAGAATGGAGGAGAAAGGATTGCGGCGTGACCATCCCCTCTGGGGGGTGATTTCTCGCTTTCTGTCTCTTATGTCTCTCTCTGTCTGTCTGGCGAGCGTACGCGCTCTATAGCGAAAACCTCTCCAAAAAAATAATAATAATAATAATTTCTAATTTTAAATATTTCCTATAGTTAAAAGAAACTAATTACCATGCCATACTTTCCTTATAAAAACACATGATCTCACTTATAATAAGGTATGTATTATTTCCTTATTCTCTATTTATCTATCTAATTAACTATCTATACACACATACACACAGCTGGAGTAAAATAGAAATAATCTCTTGTTCCTGAGTTTGATGGTGAGAGAATAATTTAAGACAGGTCATGTTCATAACATCCATTTCCAGGGGCTGTATTTTGATTTTCATACATTAAAAGGAGCACACAAAAATATTTCTCCAACAATCTTCATAATGCAAAAAGAGAGATGAAGTGCTTGGCCCAGAAAAAAATGGACTGCAAGCCCTCTGTGATGTCAGTATTTCTAGGATTACTGAATAAGATTCATTTTCTTGTTATTTATAATGATTTGTTTTTTTGATGTTTCTTCCAAACATTCAGCATATCAAATATCAGTTACTACAGACATCTGCTTCTAAGGAGAAAAAATATCCATGTCAGCTCTTGGTAAGATGAAATATTGCATGGCAGTGGTCCTAATAATGCCAGGACGAGACAGGTAAATGCTTGGCCTTCTTCATGTCACAGTGTCTAAGCTCAATAGAAGAATCTGAGGAATAAGAACAAAACAAAAGTGAAGAGAATATGAGAAGGCTCACTGAGTAGCAAAGACTTATTTCAAGAATATCTATACTAAAATAAAACCATCCACTCCTACAGTCACGAGAGTGCTACTTAGAGCAAAGTAAAACACACCCTAAATAACTGGATAGGATACTGGTTGGAAAACTGAAATACAAGTCAGAGTTCAGCTCATTAAAAATGAAAGCAAATTTAATTTATAGCAGGGTGAGCGGGGATGTATCAAGTGCAACAGAGACACCATGATCTTTTTAACAGCAAATGTTGTATCCAAGCTTTTCTTCTTACCTTGTCAATCAGCATTTCACTCATTCTGAGAAGTTGCTTTGGCATAACTCAGAGGCAGATTCAGCCCAACAACTGGTCCCACAATGCTCAGCCAGGATGTGATGTAGTTGGCATTCCTAGGAAATGAAATAAAATATAAACAATATTGTTTCCATTGTAATCGGTCACCAACAATAACAGATATGTCCCCACCATTTGGAATCCCACCATTTTCAAATGCCAGTCCTGCTGCTTGACAGGCATTTGAGATACAGAGAGACTGTGGGGACCCCTCACAGGTAGTGAAGGATGACATAAGAAACTGGGGTTCCTGACTCTCCTTGATGACTGATTAAGTTTTTTTTTTTTTTTTTCCTAAGGCTTTTGCCATAGGGGGGGTGCACTCACCAAAGAGAGACAGAGAGAGGGAAAGTGAGAAATCATCCCCCAGAGGGGATGGCCACACTGCAATCCATTTTCCTTCTTTCTCCTCCTAGGATTTTAGGCATGCATACACATGTCTGGAGTGATTTTCAAGCTGCTGTGCCTTAACCACCTCCTGGCATCTCATTATTAAATTGTACATCATTTACTAATGTGCAATGGTTAAGAGCATGGCTCTAAGGCAAAATGCTTGGATTCAAATCCCAGTTCCACTGCTTAACTAGCTATGCGACACTGGCCAAGTCACTTAACTCCTCTGTGCTTTAGCTTCTTCCTCTGTCAACCAGGTGAAGTAATGGTACTTAGCTCACAGGGATGGTATAAAAAGCCAATGTGCTAATATATATAATCTTAGAACAGTGCCTAGCACATAGTAAAAATCAATACGTGTTACCCATCATTATTATTACAAAGACTATTTCTTTTTTAGCCTAGCTTTTAGAGTCATATAAAAAGATTTACACTTTTAAAATCAGAGTAGAGGCCAATGTATCTTGATGGTGTTTCTTACCTATTGATTTTCTGAGAATTCTTTAATACAGGAGTCATGAATTCATTCGTCTTGCAGGGATGAAGTACAAAAAAGGGTTGCCCGAGTATTGGATGCTCCTGTAAGAATCAGAGATGGTCCAAGATTGCCAGCATAAATTACTTTGAAAAAGTTAAAATAAATAATCTGATTTACTCCTTTAAAATAAAGCTTGGTTTTAAATTCTAAGTTACTGAGTTAACATACAGGCTGATTTCCTATATGGAAATAAATTATTTTTGAATTGTCAGAGGGTCTGTGCATTCACCAGAGAGGCAGAGGGAGGGAGAAAGCACTCCCTAATGGGACATGATCATGTCACAATCCTTTCTCCTCCATTTTTCCACCACCCCTGAGATCTGGAACAAGCAAACACCTGGTGTATTTTTCAGGCCAGCAGGGCTGGGATTCCAACAATGGTTAGTCACAAGTACTTCCAGGTTAGGGATGTGGACATCACATGGCAAGCAGCAGGGAGCCCCAGCAGGTTTCTAGTAGAAAATGAAGCTGTGCACATGTTTCTACCAAAACAAAAACAGTTACTGATGATAAACTTAGCAGCTGTTTACATTGTGCTTAACCATTAACTGAGATACTGCAAATTCAAATTCCTATGAAAACCAGCCAGGTGGGACCAGCAATTAGCGTAATGGCTATGTCGCTGGACTCCCATATATTCGACTGTGGTTCAAGTCCTGGACCCAGTGGCTTAAACTCATGCCAGGTGTGTGTGCGTGCATGCCCAAGATCCTGAGAGGAGAATGGAGAAGAAGAGATTGCAGCATGGTCATCCCCGCTGGGGGATGATTTCTCACTTTCTGTCTCTCTCTTGTCTCTCTGGCAAGTGTACGTGCCCTATAGCAAAAGCCTCTCAAAAAATAAATAAATAAATAAAACAAACAAGCAAACAAACAAACAAAAAACAGTCAGGTGACCTAAAAGGGTAGCACTAGTTACATACACTCACAGGTGATTGGGACCATGGAGAACTAGAGAGTGTACCCATTTGAGGCTGTCCCTACTACCCTGTTCCAGCTGACCATCCCAGGTGACAATGCAAGTTTAGTGTGCCAGACTTTTCCATTTGTTGAAATAACCCAGAAAACCAGAAATGTATGTTAAAGCTCCCAAATTTAAACACTAACACATTTAAAACAAACAAACAAACAAAAATTTGGTGGGCCAAATAAATCAGGTTTATAGGCTAGATTTGGACTAGGGGGCTGCTTAGCTTCTCTTGGCTGTTGCTTCTCTTTTTAGCCTGCTCAAGTAGAAGCTGGACTCAGAGCCATTCACAAGAGGAATTTTGTGGCTGTCCTTGCTGCCTTCAGCCCTCAGCCCCAGAAATTCATGCATGCATGCATGTGCACACACCTCTTCATAAGAACTGGATAGGGCTGGGGGAAATATTACCAATTATATTTGTGACATTGGGTATGGAGGTTTGGGGAGAGGTTGTGGTATGGGATGAGTTATTCTCTACTTGTAGAGAATAAATGCTACCTACTCTAGCATTTTCAGTACTACTTCACTTTTCTTCTCCCCGAGTTCTACTTCCAGATGCCTCTGCACACTAGCCTGATTTTTTTTAAGGTTTTTGCCATAAGGTGTGTGTGCTCATGGAGAGGAGAGAGACAGAGAGAGAGAGACAGGAAGAGGGAAAGTAAGAAATCACACCCCCAGGAGGAAGGCCATGCCGCAATCCCCTCTTCTCAATTCTCTTCCTGGGATTTTGGGCATGCACACACACACACACACACACACACACACACACACAGCATGATTTTCAAGCCTCCAGGTCCAGGACTCATACCACAGTTAGCCATGTGGGAGCCCAGTGTCTCAACCACTCCATCACCATCTGCTGGCCCCTAGCCCGATTTTTTAAATGGAGTGTCAGCTTCCTCTCTCCAACTCCTACCTCTCAGTCCCATTCCTAACTGAGCCCTAGGGTCACAACCAGATGTGTTAGACCTATGGCTAATCCTCCTGTCTTACTTGATCTGATTTCTCTTACCTGCTGTAACTAATATTTATCAATGCAACACATACCTATCAATTACCCTTAAGTGTCTGCCATGAATATTTCTAGATATACTTATAGAGAATACTATATTTCTAAGATAAAGTCTCTGATCCCACAGAACTTAGATTCCAGTGCAAGAGAAGCTAATAAACACAAAGAACAATTAAATAAACAAGATAGTAGAGATAACAATAAGCATTATGAAGGAAACAGAACTGTGAACTGTGACTCTGGTGGGACTGTGGACATATTAAATTTGTTGACAGAGAAGATCTCACTGAAGTGGTATATCAGGGATGAATGTTTGTATCACTCCTCCCTTCCCCATTCCTATGTTGGAATCCTAGCCCACAGGGCGATTATTAGGAGGTGGCTCTGTTAGGTGGTAACTGGATCATGAAGGTGAAGCTCTCATAGAGAGTTTGTGCCCTTATAAAGGGGACCCCAGAGAGTTAGGGGTCATGGTGAGGATACAGTGAGAAGACAACTGTTTATGAAACAGGAAATGGGCCTTCACCAGATATTGAATCTGCCAATACCTTGATCTTAGATTCCTCAGCCTTCAGAACTATAATTAATAAAAGTTTGTTGTTTCAGCTGTCCAGTCTATGTTATTTTGATTATAGCATCCTGAACAAACTAAGACAAAGTGATGTTTAATCAAAGATCAGAATGAAAGAAAAAAAAAGTGATGCAAATATCTGTGAAAAGCGTATTGAGGCAGAAGATCCTACCCTAGTGATCACAGGAAATGTGCAGAGAAAAATGTAAAACAATTTTAGAGTTATTCTGGACTAAAATAATTATGATTTAGAGAGTTGGTATTTAAAATGCTAAATGTAGCCTAAATTCTTTTTGGAGGATTTACATAATTACTAACAAAAAGAATAAAGAGCTATAACCCAGTCTTACTGAAATTAAGACATGTTACCTTCTTTAATAAAATGAGACCTAGACATCCGGGTCACAGTGGACAGAAATGTTATAAAAGGAAAGGTCACCACAGCCATGCAGCCTCCACCTTCTCCTGGACTCATCACCCTTTGGTGTCTCTTGAAGATCACCATGGCCACTTTCACCATGACCTCATAGGGAAACTCCTCTGAGAAAGAATGAACCATTCAAACAAGATTCTGTTGAAAGTTTGGGAATATTAATAGGGCAATAAACGCAAAAAGTTACAAGACTTAATGCTTCAGACTTTTAAATGCTAGGACTCCCAGGCCCATCTGAGTAATGTGAGATACTCAAAAGAGATCTTAACCGAGTCTTCTCTTCCTGGCATACACAGGGGATGGAGGTACTCATAACTACTACCTAAGAACTTCAAAGAATCTGAACCCCTCACAATTGAGCTTCATTGAGATTTGGTAACTCTCAAGATGAAAGGCTTCATTATATAGTCTCTTACTTACAGGCCTATGACCTAACCATTATAAAAAATTTTTAAATAACCTTATCAGAGTATAACATACATCTGAGGAATACATACACACTTATAGTTTGGGGCAATTTTCTTGGAGCAGTCTTAGGACCATGTCATATTGCAGCTCTACTCATTTGATGCTACTCAGTAAAGACATGAACTTTATTTCTGTAAGTCATCTTTTACTTGTTACACATGGCAAGTTGGTAAGAGCATGCAAGAGCTCTGCAGTTAAAACTGTTTAGGGTCAAGTCCTGCTATACCAATTAGTAACTGTGAGCTTTTGGGAAAATATTTGTTTTCTCATCTGATAACTGGGACTAAATGACAGCATCTACCTCACAAACTGATCATGACTCCTCTGATAAAATAATACCAGAAAAGTACATAAAACTAACACAGAGCAAACATTTATTTGGCTATTATTATTCAACTCAGTGATTTCAGACAAAGATAATAGACATTTAGAATATGGTCTTCTGGTGCCCTGTCATAAAGTCCAATTTTACTATCTAAAAACATGAAGCTCCTGTAGGTTATGAACCATAGTAAAAAAATCACTGATCAGTGTCCAAATGTTTAGGAATATTTGACAACTGATTATAACTGAAGGGAAGAGAAGTCTAAATTAGTAAAAGGTGTAGATGTATATGGCAACAAGCACTAATGATAAATTGGTATTCAGGTTTAAAGCCAAATTAATGGAAAATAATTTAAATGAATTTAAATTAAAATAAAAGCTCAGGCAGTTCAAAAACCACTTCAGTAATCTACAACATTTTTATATTCATTTTCCTCAAACAACTTAAAAACAATTATACTAGCATTTAAGGTTATAGTATAGTAAAATAAAATGCATAGTGATGCTCATGTGAAATATATATTTTTTTAAGTGACAGAGACTTTCATGTCTTAGGTGAGCTTTCAAAATAGCTTGGGCATCACTTTAATGCAGATTGGTCATCTCAAAAGAGATTTCTTTATCCTTTATTGTATGGAGATGTTATAGCTATGTAATAAAAAATAATAAAATAAGTGACTGTCTTTACAACCAAAAATTTCAATTTAAATTAGATTTTAAAATAAAAATTATGTTGTTTTGGTGAAATGCTTCTAGTTTAAAAAGATCAAGCTATGGGGACCAGCAGAGGGCATAATGGTTACATCACTGGACTCCCACATTGTTGCCTGTGGTTTGATTCCCAGACCTGATATCGTAAAACTTATGCTGGATGCATATGTGTGCACGCCCAAATTACCAAGGGGAGAATGGAAGAGAAAGGATTGCGGTGTGGCCATCCCCTCAGGGGGTGATTTCTTGCTTTCTTTCTCTCTGGTGAGCACATACATCCTATAGCAAAAATCTCTCAAAAAACAAAAACAAACTATGATATGTTGATCAGTTTAAAATAGAAATTGTAATAAGGTATACTTACATAATCTTTTAAGAAAAGACTTATTAATATATAATAGGGGGACCAGCAGTTAGCCTAATAGCTATGTCGCTATATTCCCATGTAGTCGACCGCGGTTTGTGTCCCTAACCTGGTGGCTTAAAACTCACATTGGACGCGTGTGCGTGCGTGCCCAAGATCCCAAGAGGAGAACGGAGGAGAAGGGATTGTCAC